GAGCCTTCAGGTGCAGGGGAGGCCGGTGCGAGGGGGCGGTTGGGCGCCTGCCCCGCAGGGCCGATGGTGTGGCCGCACACGCGCCTTCCCCTTGGTAGCGTGCCCCTTTGAGCACCTTTGAGTCAGCACTTGAATCTCCCCGGGTGAGTTTCTGCTTTGCTGAGGGAATTTCCAGCACATCCACTTGGCCCAGGGCAGCTGGAGCTGCTTAGGGGGGCAGCCGGCCCAAAGCTGGGCTGGCTGGGGAGGGAGGCCCTTGCCAGAGAAGGCAGCTGAGGTGGTGGCTTGGAGATGTGCTGCTGTGCTCGCAGCTCTGGGAGGCAGGGGCAGGAGAGGTGGCAGCGAGGGTGACTTGCTTTGGCTCTGCCTGTGAGGTGGAGGAGCCAGGCTCTTTCCCAGTATGGAAGGGCTGCAGCCCGTCTGTCTCATTCAAAAATGGCTCAGGCTTTTGCTACAGCTGTTAAAATGGGTCTGGTGCTGACATCTATTGCCTGTGCAGCGGGTGGCTCACAGCGAGGTGGGCTCTGACCCCCTTTTCTCATCAGCAAAATGGGGAAGTGCTGCTGGCTTTGTAAAAACATTTGGAGGTTCACTGGGAAGATGTAGCGTGCAAGAACTGTTTTAATTATTGATTTAATGCAGCTTTATTATACAAGCAACTGGGACACGGAGTAGTTTTTGTGCTTGGTGCCTGTGGCTGGTAGCTAGGCAGGCTCTGTAGGAAAATGAGCTGATTGACACTACAAATGTGATATACTTACACCTTTCCTGTAACGGGAAGCGGGTGGAGTGATGAGGTGTGAAGGCTTCCTCTCTTCTCAGGGGAGGTGGTGAGGAGTTCTAATATTTTGCTAATTCAAGTTAATGCTTACGTACCTATATTTTCCTTTCCTGCACTTCAAAATAAATGCACTGTGTAAAACGAAAACCCAAATGAGTGTCTCAAGCAGCCTTAGGATGAGAAGAACAGTTAAGAGGTAGCATAAATGGAGATGGCATGAGAAGTTGCTCTCTTGAATGAGTATGGGATAAAGGAACACTAATAGATGTAAACTTCCTAACAAAAGCTGGTAGTAGTATTGTTAGAAGTATCTGGGGCTAGAAGTGACTATCAGCTGGTGAATAAAAATGTTAGGAATGATAAACGGAGCTCTGCCAATGCTGGGCTTCAGAAAGTCACTCCCAGCCGAAAATCTCAACCCGCATAATTTTTGTGTGTTCTGGCATGAGATGCATAGAATTTGCTAGAGTGCAGTCAAAGTCATCCAGGGTTTTGTATCCGAAAGTGAGTGAGTTTGAGTGTTCTTCATAGTGCTCGCTTATTTCAAATACTTTGATCAGGCTGCCTGGAGAGCTGAGACGGTCTTAGTTTCTTGTGTCGAGTTTGCCCAGAGAAATGAAAGCAGCTGGAGCCAATTGCACGTAGAGGTCAACTGGAATTATCGCAAGAGCGAGTTAGTTTGCAGCATGCTCTTAAAAACTATAAGATGACTGCATTTGATATCTCTTGGTTGTTACCATTTTTTTCTGCTGGGAAGCCTGCAGAAATGTTGTGAATGTGTTAAAACTCCACGTTAGTAGGAAGGACGAGCTCTTGCAACTTCTTTTCTCACTGTGGTTTCTGGTGACGGTGTGTGCCAAAGCTCTCCTGCTGACATCTGCGGATTTCATTTTCACAGGTTGACTGTGTCTCCTTCCCTTCCCCTCAGAGTTCCTGCCTGCAGCGCAGAGGTGGGAGAAAACTCCCCTCTAATTGAGCATCCTTTGAGATACAGAGGGGATTAGGTAGTTTACATTTAATCATGCAAAGCAGTACCCTAAAGCTGATTCTTCCTAAATGGGATGTGTTCTGTATCTTCCTCCAGGCAGACTGAGGAGGCGAGAACACCAAGATTGCTCCAGTATTTTGCAGGCACTTCGGAGATACTGAATCAATGCAGCTGGAAACGGCATAGGCTTATTTCACCTTCATCCTCCCACCAGGAAAGGATATGTCCTTTATACAAGGAGGCTGGCAGGACTTTCAGAAGTCGCTCAGGTAATTAAGAACAGAGAGAATTAAGACCTACATGAAGGTATTCTGAAGGTTTGTGCCCCTGAACCTTATGCCAGAATATATCCCAATGCCTCCGCAGCCCTGGGAGAAAAGAGGCATCAAAAAGAGGGGCAAAAAATACCCTTTAAAAAAAAAACCAAAAATTTAAGCAAAGATGTTTCCATGGTTTTTCCACTCTCAGAAATCCCATCATGGTGAGAGACAGACTTCTTTTGGCTGTCCCCACTGCAGTGCTTTCTGTGTTGGCCGTGCATGTAAAGAGCCCTTAAGAAAGGAGCAAAATTTATAGTGATTCATTTGCATCTGATGGACCCGGGGTTCAGTGCTACTGGTAACTTGATCAGCACTATTCAAATGCTAATCTCATTATGTGTGTTAGAGACTGAAGCGCAGCAATCCACCTCCATTAGCGCAGTGTGCCTGTGTGATGTTCTGGCTGGTGCGCAGGGTCGCGGTACCCCCTGCGGACACCCAGCACATGCTGCACAGCGTCAGGGCTGATACCGGCAGAGAATGGGAACTCGGTGGAGGAGCCAATGAGATGAGCAAACATGGAAAGAGGAGCTAGAGGCCTCTTTGGAAAATACTGGAGAGGGGGAAAGGGATTGTGGCCAACAGAACAGTTTAGATTAGACTTTTTTTTTTTTTTTCCCACCATAAATATGTCCATCCTTTCCCCTTGCTTCTGCATGAATGCTGTCAAAAAAAGAGCAGTAAACAAAAGAATTTGTCCTGGGTGTAGATACAGCTTAAAAGCATGATTAATAATTGTTTTACCTTATGAAAAATACCGTGCTTGTGCTGTTTGGTGTTATGACATGGCATTTTTGCTTGTCCCATGTAACAAGGACTAAAATCTGCTGGGCAGCATGCGGCACGCTCAAAAGGCCACACGCACAGGGGTTATTTCTAGATAAAGTGTTTCTGAGAGAACCTTGTTACTGAAAGCACCTTGAAGTAATGTTTGGAGGTGCTGCTGCAGTTTCCCGCCCTGGTGTGAAGAAGGCCTACACCAGGCTGTAACCTACAGCGTGTCAGCGTGGGTTGGCTGGTTTGAGGTTTTTTGTGCCTCATCTGCTTTTGTAAGGGTTCTGCATTTGGGAGGTCACAGGAGTTACAATCCTGAAGGAGCAAGATTTGGAAGGTGACGTAGTGTATTTGTTAGATAAGCTACTTAGCTGGCAGAAGCAGATGAGCTCTGATAACGCCCAGTCCTGCATCAGCTGGCTTATTAAGTAGCACAACTTCCCCAAAAGGACTGTTTTTCTGATGGGCCGTTGTGAGTGCAGCAGCCCTATTACTAGAGCTCTGTAGTTTTAGGTGATGCCTCTAAGTTTATTTCTGGTACAATATCAGTTGCCTAATAGCAGTGATAGAGTTTCTGTGAGCCTTGTTATTCTAACACGTCCCTCTCAAGGGTCACTGTGGCTGTGGTTAGCCTCGGTGCTTACTGTAGCAGCAACAAACTGCAACCCTGCTTGTGTTAAGGTTTATGAATGTTGTGCGCAGCTCTGCTGCCTGCCTGGGGAGAGCAGAACAGGGAGGATGACAGTGGTGTAGGTGAGGAATCACAGGAATGATGAAGGCAGACAACAATGGCTAGCAGTTCACTGAAGGGAGAAGATAACCTACCTGACTGCATTCAGGTATCTCTTCCCAAGGAAAGCCTGGCAACCAAAATGTGAAGGGAATAGGGAGTGATTGTTGGGAGTGTGAGTTTAAGTGCCCACACAAAGACTATGTTACACGCCCTGACACACCCCACCCCCCATATTTGGGAATTAAAACCCCCTCATTGGTGACAGATACAGAGCTAGGTATGTGGCTTGGTCTGTTCTTCAGCAAGTTGTCTCAGCTTTGCAGTGACAAGCCTGGCAAAACAAATTGTG